CTGTCTTTGTTTCTTTTTTTTGTACTTAGCACTTTGTGCAATGCTTGGCACATAGGAAATGGTTTTTCATTAATTTTTCCTTTATTCTTGTGTCCAATTTTATTTTAGTGTAATTTCTCTTTAAATTGCCTCCCCTGAGGGAGACTTTAAAAGAAAAACAGGTAACTATAATTTTCTTATGCTTTCACTCTTCATTTGTTGTTTGAGCAGTGCAGTATAGTGGATATAAGTCATTTGACTTGGAGACAAGAAGACCTAGTTTAAATCTTGCCTCAGATACTTCTTAGTTCAGGAACTTTGAACAAGTCCATTTAGCCACTCTGCTTCAGTTACCTAATCTTTAAAATGAGGGAGTTGGAGTCATTGCAATTTATGGTCCTTTCCTAAATTCCATGAATTTATTGTGTTTATCATTTATAGGTAAACTGTTCTGTGTCAGAAAGGTTTTGTGTATACTCATGAAATATTTTTAGAATGTATTGTTGCTAAATTAGCATCTAGCACAATGCCCAGTACAGATTTGGCACTTTAAGAAATGCTTATTGACTTGACTTCTTTTATCTGATTTATTAGGCTCTGAGAATAATCTGTTTGCTTTAATTTTGAGGACCCAAGGATACTATCAGTCCAAGTTAGTATGCCAATTCTAGCAGTAGCAATTAAGTCCACTCTTATAGTAGTAGAAGCAGCTAGGCCAGATACATATCAAAGAATGAGGTTAGGCAGAATCTGAATTGCAAGGGACCTAAAAAACCAATATGACTCAACCTATACCTGAATAAAAATCCTTTCTACCAGAAACTCAAGAAGTAGACATCTAGCCTTTGCTTCTAGATCTCTAATGAAGGAATCCCATTCTACTTTTTGAGTAACACTAACTTTTTATGGAAATTTTTCCTAACGTTAAGCTTATTTTTCATTTCTGTTACTTAATATGTTATTCTTAGTTCTTATCTCTGGGGCAGTTACAACATAACTCCATTTTCCATCATAACTTTTTTTTTTGGCCATTTCTTGCAGTTGTTTTTGAGGAATTGGATATTTTTGTAGAAAAAGCAACCCTGTAATGAAACTTTTAGTTTCTAACGGTGGGTTTCTATTCGGTACATTTTAACTTACATAAGAGAGAGTACCTAACTTGAGCCACCCACAGAGGTGGAAGGCAAAAATATATTTAGATCATAGTCACTGGAGATTTGAGCAGATAATCAACCAGTCACCAGCTATCTGTCAGGCCCTGTTCTAGGTATTTGGAATTTAAGTACAGAGAGTGGAACTATCCATTATTCAAGGGTAATGCTAAGGTAACAAACTTGGGAGGCCGTAAGGATTGTGAGGCAGAAATAGGAAGTTTGGAAGAGGGGAGAGTTTGGGGTAGAAGATAAGAAGTTCAGTTTTGGCCACGTTGAGTTTAAGATGTCTCTGGGACATGGTTAGAAATGTCTAGTAGAAAAATGATGTGAGATTGAAGCTCAGGGAGCAAACTGAGGCTAGAAATATAGTTCTGGAAGTCATTTGCCTCAAAGATAGTTAAACCCATGGGAATTGATGAGGTTACTAAAAGAGTATAGATGGGGTAGAGAAAAGAAAGAGTGGGGCAGAACCTTGGGAAGTAGCCACAGTTAGAGGGGATGATATGGATGATAAGCTAGGTGGTCAGAGAGGCACAAGGCAAGCCAGGGGAGAGTAGTGCTGTGAAAACCCGTCTAGGAGAGAGTGTCCAGGAAGAGGCTGTGTTCAAGTGTCACATATGCCAGAAAGGTCAAGAAGGAGTAGGACCAAGGAAAAAACCATCAGATTTGGCAACAGTGAGATCACTAATAACTTTGGAGAGAGTAGTTTCTTTCAGTCAAGGGCTTAGGAAGGAAGCCAAACTGCAAAGCATTAAAAAAGGACTGAGAGGAGAAGCAATGGAGTCAGTGACTATAGACAGCTTTTTTAAGGATTTTGGCTGAAAAAGGAAAAAGTGGTGTAAGAAGAAAACTTTAGGGGCTGGTAGGATCCAGGGAAGGTGTTTTAATAATGGAACAGACTTGGACATGTTTGAAGTCAGTGAGTTAAGGAACCAGTTGATAGGTAGAGCCTGAAGATTCTAGAGAATAAAGAAGTGATTTGAGAATGCAGTATTCTGGAGAAGACAGGAAGGGGTGGGATCAAATATATAGAGAAAGGGTGGTGGCAAGAAAAAAGAGCCACCTAGTTTTCAGAGGTTGGGGGAAAAGAGAATATTGAAAGATGTCAACGGGACTTGAGATGAAGAGAATTAAAGAAGAGAGAGCATGTGTTTGCATGGTGCCAATTTTCTCAGTAAAATAAGAGGCAAGGTTCAACAAAAAGAAGGGGGAAGAAATTATTCATTTAGAGAGGAACAAAAGAATTGGGCCTCATTCAGCTTGGATAACTCAGATTTGTGCTGTAAACAATCAAAATGGTTATGAGATTTTTTTTCTACCTATGTTCAGTGGCTTATGAATAGAAGTGCAGGAGGTGAATGGTGGAAGTAATCCAATCCTGAGGCTTGGCAAGATAAGATTGGTGATGGGACAAAGGCCCAAGGTATTGGAGAGTTAAAATAGCTGACTGTTGGGTTGATATCTGATAGGGAGGAAAGTGAAGGCAGGGTAGCAACCTAAGGAGTAATGAGGGCTTGGAGGCCTCAGTGAGGGCACAGAATAGGTTTAGGGAGGAGTTGGTTGCCCTACCCCCACCCCATCCCACTGCATCCATTCAGAGATGCACACACCCCACTGTCCCTTCCCTCCCTTTTTCCAGGATTGGAATTTCTTTTGTATTCCTCCTCCCCTGGGCAGGACTAACCTTTTGATTTAGTTGCCAGTACCCGTTTCTTTGTCTGTGCCCCCCTGGAATGGGATCAAGGTTCTTGTTCACCATGTCTTCCCCCTAAACCGTAACACAGAAGGGTTTGAGAAGGAAGAATGGATGTACAAGTGTGTTCTGATCCTAAGAGCTCAGCTTCAGTTCAGCTTCTATTCCAGTATATCCTGTACCTTGCTGCTCAAGAGATCTAGGGAGAAAAAGGGGTAGAGGGGGAGAAGGAGGTTGGTAATCCTATTAATTCCCCTGGCCTGAGCTGGCCTTACTTGGCTTGTGTTGTTTGCCTCTGGAATGCATATTTTGCAAGAATATTTACTCCCCAGCCCCCATTATCCTTCATTTCAGAATATCATCCCCTACCCCTAGGATCAGTTTCATCTTCCCTCTGTTCACATTTTACCTTTAAATACATTTTGTTGGTTTTGTTTTTTAAACACTTTTTATCTTATATTCTGTGGCAGCCAGATACCTAGCCGTGCAGGTTTATGGGGTTCTCGTGTTCACCTGCCCTTTACTCCACTCCCATCCAACCTGTTCATCCTTCCCAAATCTTTATAAGAAGAGCTTGGAGTGGGAAGAGATGGTGTATACCATGCTTAGTTTATTAAAAAGTGACATTGATGGGGAGGTGGCACCCAGGGGAGCTGCTCTCACCCTACTAACATATATCACCACCACCACCCCCCAGCTTTTGTCACAGCTCCTCCTTTGGCAGTCTTCAAGTTTGTAGGGTTAAGGGAAGGAGGGTCCAGCAGAGGTAGCAGAAAGGGTGTTCCTGAACTATTGTGGGTCCTCACTCTGGTTTCCTATTGGCAGTTACTTGCGTAAAAACAAATTCATTTTAAAAAATACAGAAACTTTAACATGCTCTGTTTTTTGACATGGTCTGGTTCAGCCCTCCTTGGGCAGCCTGTTAACTCTCTGCTCTGCTCATAAGAACTCTGGATTATGGCTATGACATTCCTAGTATTTTTCATTTTAGTGTTCCTTTTGGGAGGTGATTGGTGGATCATTTCTTTCTTTACTTTGCCCTCTGGTTCTAATAGATCTAGGCAGTTTTCATTAGTGATTTCTTGAGGTTTGTCCCATAATGTTTTTCAGGAAGTCCAGTGATTCTTAAATTATCTTTAAAATGTTTTTCCGCAGCAGTTTTTTTTAACTGCTATTTTACAATCTTATTCTTTTTTTTTCTCAATCTTATGATTTTGTTTTATAATTCTTAGTATCTTATAGAGTTATTGCTTTCTGTTTGGTCTATTCAGGAGTCCATTTATTGGGTAAAGCTTACCACTTAGTTTTCTAAGCTATTTGTTGTCTTTTTTTTTTCCTGTAGTGATTTCATTTCATGTCCCCCCACCCCCATTTCCCCATGTGTCATTTTTTCTAGGTAGTTATGTAGTCTTTGTGGAAAATCCATTTTTCCCCCTTGGTGCCTCTGTTGACAGTTGTTACGGTGTTTCTTGCTCTTATGATGATGTCGGAAACAGAAGACATTGATAAAAACTTAATAAAAAAAAGTTTGTTTTAAGTTAGGCAGTTCTCATCTTTACATAATTGATCTAGCTTTCACTTATTTAGCAACCTAACCTCAGAGGACTGCCAAGAACTAAAAAATAAACAAAACACATTACATGCACAGTAAAATGTTTTTAGCAGCCCGTATAAGTCTTTAAAGACTCAAAAGAGAAATCTCCTGAGTTCCCTCCAAGGTGATTTTTCTTATTTTAGCCAGACTGTTAGAACAGAGTGTATTTGATTTTCCAGGCCACAGCAGATCAGGAAAGAAAGTAGTACCTCTTAGAACAAATTCTCTCAAAACCAGTTTCAAAGTTTTTGGTGTTCAGAGGGGTAACTGTCAGTTATTTGGAGAGTCTAGACGGGTGGGAAGCCTGCAGCCCTGAGGCCCCATGTGGCCTTCTAGGTCCTTGGGTGAGGCCTTTTGACTGAGTCCAAGTTTCATAGAACAAATCCTGTTGTTAAGGAGATTTGTTCTGTGAAGTCTGGATTCAGTCAAAGAGCCTCGATGGACTCTAGCATGTGAGATTTAGGTCATTCCTCAATATTTAAATGAGACATTTGTGCTATTTAATGTTTCTAATGAGTGTTGGTTTCTGTGTTACTAAACCAGAAAATGCCATGGACTTTTTTTTTTCTTGTCTCTACAGCAAAAGGAGAAGGAGAGTTTATTAAAGGAAAGAGATCATATTTTATCAACACTGGGTGAAACAAAGCAGAACTTAACTGGACTTTGCCAGCAGGTGTGCAAAGAAGCGGCTTTAAGTCATGAACAAATCCAAATACTTGCAAAGTATTCTGCCTCAGATTGCCCACTTACGTTGTTAATTTCTGAAAAAGGAAAACTTACTCCTGCCTCTGAACTTGTGCCACCGTCATGTATGAGTTTACCTCATGGGCTTCCAAATATTCCACTGGCCAGAGAACAAAGTTCCACTTATCCACGTGTAAGAGAAGCAAATGATTCAGTACAGGGACAACAGCCAGATTCGTGTCAGAACTCCCCACGAACTTCATCGCTGCTCATAGGACAGTGTTGTCAGAGTGGTGGCAGCACTGATTTCTGTCCGATCACTGGTAAATGCACTGCTGATGACTAAAACCATGTTTTATTTCCTTCCTGCCATTTCCTTTTATAATCAAGTTTTTTGTATTAACATGAAACTCTAATATAGGTTCCATACGTTAGTTTCTGCTGAGTTTGCTGTTAAGCATGTTTCTGTTAAGTTGATAGTATCATCCCCATGACCCCCATTAGGAAACCAGGGATAACTTTTATTAGAAAGCATTTTAAATTGAATGTAATAATTACATTTGAGAATATGGCAGATCTTTTAAAAATCACCTAAGAAGATAGTGGTTTTAAGTTGTTAATGTTAATAACTGTCCTGTATTTAAAGTAAAATTTGGAATATGAGTCTGGAACAGTTTGAGAAAGTCTGGCACCTTTTTTTTTTCTTTTTTGGCTGCTAGTGATCCTTAAAGTTTTAAAAATATAAAAACAATCAGATTTCAAGTCATCAGCAAACATTTATTAAATTCCTACTGTGTTCCAGACGCTGTGCTAAGTGCTGGAGATGCAAGGAAGGGGAAAGTCGGTTCATACCTTCAAGGAGTGTACAATCTACTGGGAAGACAACATGCAAACAGCTATGTACAAATAAAATATATGTAGGATAAATTTTGGATAGTCTTGGAGGGAACACACCAGCGTTGAGGGGCAGTGGGAAAGACTTCTTGCAGAAAGTAGGATTTTAGCTGAGACTAATCTAAGAAGCCAGGAGGAAGAGATGAAACAGAAGGTAATTCCAAACATGAGATAGCAAGGGAAAATCCAGAGATAATGGGAGATAAGAGTATCTTGTATGAGGAATGAAATAGGAAGGAGGCCAGTGCCGCTAAAGCAAAGAATACGTGGAGGGGAGAGTAAGGTGAAACGCTTCTAAATTTCTGAGTCCTATGTATTTTTTCAAGTTTAAGATTAAAAAAAAAACACTTTCCCCCTGCTATCATTAAATAGGCAAATACCTATTTGAGGGAAAACTTCACAGATCAGGGTATAGGCCTCCCAAATTGGGGAAGTTGGGAAATAATTTTCTATGAATTAAGTATGAAATTCTGTTAAGTAGATTTCTGCTAATATAGAAGAGCTGAATAATCAAGTAAATGTTTAATTTATTAACAATCAACTTAGGAGTCTTTGGGGGCATGTTACATGACACCACTACTGAATTACATTTTAAAGTTTGAGGTTTCAAGTTTTCACCTGAATTAAAATTTTTGAAAGTTTTTCACTGTTAGAGAACTAAAAGGGGGAAGGGAATTTGCAAGAATTCACTAGATGTGTGTTACTCAACAAGTATTTATTAAGCAACATGCTTTTCTGTCATGTTGGGACATAACTTGTTGAAAAGCACTAACCAATAAAGCACTAAAAATTTGAGTAGTATGGAAGCTTAATTACATTTTCTGAATAGGGTTATATCTACTTGCATAGTACAAAGGCACAAGCAGACGCCTGAATGTTTTTGTAAAGTTCCATACTTTAATTTGGTGTGTAAAATGGTTTCTAATTCTTTGGTAAAGGCTTTGTTACTAAGAACAGTGCATTGAAAAGCTACTCAAAATGGAACTGGCCCTTGGAGTGGCTGGTTCCATCACTGGATTTATCTTAAGTCCTTAGAATGACTTTATCATGAAAAATATTTAGTGGTTCTGAGAAATAAACTCATAGTGTATTGAATGACCCTAAAAATACACTTGCAATATCTTATATTGGGACCAATCTTAAAATTTAGAAATTTTTAAAATTGTAATTTTCTCCCCCTTTTTGATGTGGGAAAATTCTCTAGTATTTTAGTTGCTTATAAATTATAGATGTTGTAGCAAGGAAATAAGTTAGGTTTTGGTTTATTTTCTATATGCTTGAAGAAACATTCTAAGTGGTCTGGAAAAATAGCATTTTTATAGTGGTAAATCACATGTAATAAGATTAAAACAGAATTGTGTATAAATGATCTAATATTGCCATTTCTTTTTATTTTATTCTTGATTTTTCAGCTTCACACAGTTGAGTGCAAACTTTTTTCTGATTTGCAAAATGTCAACTCTTGTATAAGCCAATGGCTAGAATCTTTGATTCCCTACCTCATTATACACATAAATGTTTTTTCATAATCAGCATGTGTATATGCAAAAATGTCAAATAATCTGCTCTTATTACTACTATAAGTATTGGCAGGTTATTCAGTATTTTAGGACAATGCCTCATTGTCTCCAGAATTTAAAAATAATTTTCACATCACTGGGTTTTAAATCTACGTATTCAAATATGTAACTAAACTAGCCTGAGAAATCTTTTTTTTAAGGTTTAACCAATAATTCAAATGTTTATTTCTTGATACTGAATATTATTCCTTATAACCAGCATGTAATGCAAATACAAATAACTACACTACCTCATATGCAAGTGATTGTCAAGTTATAAAACAGATGTGCAGAGAATATTTTAAAGAATTTTTAAACATTTTTGCTTTTCCCCTTTATAAGGTGGGGAGGTTTTTATTGTGTATATTGCATAGATTATGCCCTCAACAGAATGACAGTATAATACAATGGATACCTTGACCACCATTTGCAGTTCTTTCACCGTTTGCTAAAGATTTCTTCATTGTACATGATGTGCAAAATCATTTGTCTTAGCCTTCTGTCCTTTGCTTAGTGTTTCATGTCTTACGTAATCTTCTGAAAACAATGACATTTAATACAGTCTTAATTGTATTACACTATTTTTCAGATTTTTAAAAATAATTTTAATACTAACGGCAAATTATGTGCTACTCAGAACTAATGTGAATATCATTTCTGTGCTAAATATTTTTTTTAAAAAAACATTTGTTGAAGATAATGTTTAATCATTCACATTTTAGTAATTAGAAATATATTTAATGCGGTAAGAATAAAGGTTGCATGTAGATTCTGAGTTATATCAATTTGAAAGAAAACATGGCAATATTATAAATTCTCAGGTGAACTTTTTTTAGTCACGAAACATGTTATTTTGAACTTGTAAGTGTTTTAAGTGTTAATGCATGTAATAAATCATATTTTGAGACTTTTTGGGCAAAATGTAAACTTAGCCATAACAATAAAAAATGGCATATGGATTGTAAAATCTGAAATAATAACATCTTTGTATCTTTCATCACCTTTCTAATGTAACAAAATCATTATCCTTCCTAATAAGGCAAGATCTCATTAAAAGTATAATTCTGTAGTATTACAGTTACACCTTTTTCATTATGCTATTTTTTAACCGGATGTTGGTTAAAAATAGCCAAACCGCAAGGCATTAGTTTCTTTGCTCCTTGGTAATAAATTTGCTGTTGAATAAATACCCTAGAATTTAATAATGAATATTGTTAATTTTTTGTTTACTTGTGTGTTGTGGAAATTTACTAATCTTAGACTTTTGTAAAAACAATGAAAATGGGCTTTATGTGAACATAAATGTTAGGAAACTATCATGTGTAAGAGGAATGGGTGTTCATCCCAGCATTCAGAGATCTAGGCAAGCATGCATTTTAACCTCTGCTTTAAAAAAAAATGCTTAATTCCAACTCCTACTCTATGAGAGTAGTACTCCCTAGGGCTCCGTCAAGATAACGTGTTTGATAAATCAAACAACTACTTACTGATTTCCCACCTTATTTTGGCCTTAGTTTAGAACTTTAATTCTCTGCTTTAAAAAAAAATATTTTTATTGATTTTTTTGTTTGTTTCTTAAATCATGATAGTATCCCATAGTATTCTGTGGATGGGGGGGGAGAGGGGAGAGTCTGAAAAGTATAATGTATAATACCTGTGGACCTCCCACCTCCACAAAGGGTTAGGCTGGGGTGGGGCTGTATTTTCTCATTTCTTTTCATTTGATCTTCATAATTCTATTTGTTTTTTGATTTTTTTGTTGTGTCTTTCTTTCCATTTACATTGCTGTAGTCACTATGATTGTTTTCTTGGCTCTGCTTATTTCACTCTACATCAGTTCATACAGATCTTTCCATGCTTCTCTGTATTCATCACACACACACTCAGTCTTCTCTGTTCGCCTGCTCCTTTCCCTCCCTTTTATGTACCCTCCTATGTTGTAATGTAGTCCCACAAAGGAAGCATTCGTCTGTAGAGAGAGGGTATTTTCAGGTTCTATCCAGAATCCCCTCTGCGTCTTCGCTGTTGCCTCTGCCAGATTCCCACCTTTACTTCTGTCTCCTTGTGTACATTTAGAAAGAAATCCCTTACTGGTCTTTTTTGTTGTCCCTCTTGTATTTATTGTCCCTCCGTTTCTGTTTGGGGTGGTCAAAAAGCAGATAATCACGCCAGTTTTTTTTTCTAAAAATATTTCAAAGTCTTTATTTGAACATCCATTTTTTTTCTATATTGTTAAGCTCAGATTTTCAGATAGGTCCCCCTGGGCTACATGCATCCTGAATTCCCTTGCACTTTGAAACACATTATTCCTTTCCCTTCTTTTTCTAGTGGGTTCAGAATGGTTTTGTTATTCAGATGTCCTTTCCTTTGTATTTGAAGGTCTTTCTCCTGATGACTTATTGTTGAACTTAGGAACTTTCTCCTGATGAACTTCTTGTTTCTGAATTGAACTGTTAAATTTAACCACTATATGTCTTAGAGCTGGCAGCCTTGTGGTTTTTTTTTTTTTTTAATGGAGTGGATCTTTGAATTCTTCCTATTGGAATTTCATTTTCTATGTTTAGAACTTCTAAGTAGTTCTCTTTTATAATTTTTTTCATTAATTTTTTTTGTCCTGTAATGTTCTTCTGGGAGACTTATGATCCTCTTTACATCCTGTCTTTTGAGTTCGGCATACTTTGCTTGCCCTAATGAGCCCATTTTCTTTAAGTGTCATTTTTTTTTCTTTCCCCAGGTTGCCCTTCACTTCTGTGTATTTGCATTCCACTCTATTGTTCTTTCTTTTGGTTCTTTGGTGAAGCTTGCCATTGCAGATTTTAGTTTTTCTATTTTGTTCATTATTTTTCCTGTGTAGGACATAAATTTTGTTCTAATTCTCATTTCTCTTTTAAACCTCTCAGAAACAGCATGTTGTAATTTCCATGTTCTCCTCAAATTCCACAGAGTCCTCTGTCTCATCGAGTGTTGGAACGTTTTCCTTTATTTTGCAGTATTTATTCATAGATAACTGAACTCATTTACTACATCTGGAGGCCATATTTCCTTCTGTTATTACTGTTTTTCCTATTGAGTTATCTGTTTATGTTCAAGGTCTTTGAATTTTCTTCTTCCTGAAATCTTTGGTATTTTCAGTCTTTTCTTCCCCTATACTGTTTCACTTGGTGATCTCATCAAGCTCCCATCGATTTAATTACCATCTCTATGCTGATGACTCTGAAATTCACCTATTCTGCCCCAAACTGTCTGCTGACTTCCAGCCTTGCATCTCCCACCTGTTTTTAGGCATCTCAAACTGGATGTTTAAACTCAACATGTAGATGTCTTAAAATCAACATGGCCTTTCACTCTAAATCTTCCCCTTGCGCTCTCTACCGCCCACCTTCCTCTGTTACTGTAGAAGGCAGTATCATTCTCCCAGTCCCTCAGGCTCACAACCTAGGAATCATCTAGGTTTACTTACCATCTCTCACCTCCCATATCCAATCTGCTACCATGGCTTGGTGATTTCACCTTTACAACATCTCTGTAAAATGGGGGTTGAGCATAGAGAACATAGCATAGAATATTATTTCAAAAGATGCTGGATTTCTCATTGTACCTTGAAGGGTATTTGAACTAAAATAAGAAATTTTCTTTTTTCTTTAAAAAAAAACTGGACTTTCCTCTGATTTTATACTGACTTTTCTGTTAATAAAGAAGAAAATTCATTCTGGAACCATTTTCCTCTTGATATGTTCATATTTGGTGGGTATTTTTGAAGACTGTAGTACTCTATAAACAGTGCAAGATCACAAAACTCATATCTAGAAAGGTGAAAGAATTTAGAGCTATGGGTAATGAATTTACAAAATGATTTTTTTTTTACATAACCTGAGCCCCAGAGTCTATTGTTTTAAGACTCTTTCCTCCTTGGTGGAGATCTCACCCCATGTGGTGGATGGAGTAGTGTCTTAAAGATTAGGAGGCCCTTTAATCTCTCAGGTTCTTTAATCTCAAAGTACACTTGTAGCTTCCAGCATTAAGGGAGAAATGCAGAGAATGCCAACCTTTTTTCAGCTTTATGAAGGGCGAAAAAGACTCCTTGAAGAAGCTGAATGTTTAAATCTCAAACCTGTTCTACCATCACAGCTACAAATATCCCTTCCGAAACAGGTAGTTAGTGGCTCCTTTAAAGTTGAGGTGCATTTTATTTTCTAGAGTCTGAAACTTTCATTGTCCTGGAAGTGTATAGAGAATAAATTAAAATATTTTTGTAGTATCTTACTAGTCATAGAGAATCTGATTTCATGAGATATTTAATCTTTCCTCTCACAATATGCACAGTATATTGTAAGTATGTTTTAAGAAACACACCCAGGAGATTGTATTTTTAAACTCAAGTTTATAAGATGATTTTCCTAATAATGGCTAGCATGCAAAGCTCTGAACTCAGTGGGTGTGTAATTGTTGTTCATGGACAGAGCTGGGAGTATCTATCATTCCAAATAAGTGAATGGGAAAACAGCTGAAAGAAACTAACCAGATTCAGGCGAGGTAACTAGTGAAGCTTGGCACAGCAGTCTGATATCTTACTGGGAAAAAAAATCCTGTTCTTTTTGTTCTCGCTTCTAACACATATAACAATGTATCGCAAAGGAGAAGATTCATAAGGCATGAACATACAAATTAATTTTAAAAGAAAGTTTTGGGAATGGTTGGTAGTGCATCTATATTAACCTTTAAATATATGTACCTCATAATTTATATATAAGCAGATGTAGATATGTGAACCATTAAACGTGTGTACCTCATAACTTTTAAATGAGATGTAGACATTGAAAGTAATCAAAATGAATTTTTGGAGAAAAATTTATTAAAATTTTAATCTATTATTAAAAATCATCTATTACTAAAAATTCCTATGCCAATATCTTATAGACAATTATTTCATTTTTCTTGCTGAAATGATCCTATGTTTTCTTCTGCTTGTGTTACTCTCTTCTCTGGTGGCAAGTAACAATACTTGTGAAAGCTGATCTTTCCTTATTTCTTAACCTTTTCTGCAATCGTTTTCCTGATGGTTGAGCAACAATTCCATTTCATTCATTATAGCTTTGAAATAGAGACACTAGAAAAACATGAAAATGTGCAGAGTCATTTGATCTGGCAAATCTTCATCCTGTACTTTCTGAATCCAGTCTTGCTTAGAATTAAGCCTCAGTAGATCTAAAGAGTTGATGCCAGTCTATCGCAAAGAGAAGAACCAGTTCTGCTCTTCATATTACCTCCTTTGACTTTGTCCACCTATCATTTCTGCCTGGGGAAACACGTAGTAAACAAGTTGGAAACACTCTGGCTTCCATTAAAAAAAAGTGGAATACATTCTAAATTTACCCACAATAGAATCCACAAGTCTTTGAAAATGTAAAGCTTACATATTTGTGGTATAAATATAGTTAAATTAAAGACAGGCTGATAAATAATGAAGATAATTCAATAAGGTTATAAAAAATGAATAGACTTATACCAAAGCTTTATTTTGTACCCCATAAAGCCAACATTTCTAAAATAAAAATCTATTTTTTCTAAAATAAACCTAATTGATATTTTTCCTTTCTGAAAAGAAATTAAAATTGTGTATTTCTTCTAAAAATATTGCTAGTTGTAATGAGAATGAGGTTGAAATAAAAATGAGGTAATTAGGTATACCTATCAAAATTTTGAAAGATAAATGAAATTGTTATATTCATAAATAAGTTAAATATTTTCTTAGAAAGTATAGTGTATGAATCTGAACCTAAGCTGCCATTTCTAAAATTCAAGCTATAAGTAATGAGTCCTATAATATAGTATTATCTTTGATGAATTTAACTTTTGTTCATCTCCTAATACACTGACATTAATAAAAGAGATAGGAATGTACCAACTAGTTATTTGTCCTTTGATCACAAAAATGAATATACTTTAAAACATACAAATAATGACACCTTGAATGATTTTACGAGAATAGGTCAGTAGGGATAGCATTCATTACTTTTGAATCTCCCTTTTTCATCCTCTGTGTGCACAGGCCTCTTCATCAATAGTGGTAGTCCCAGAGTAAGTGCTCAGTGAATAACTGTTTATTGGTTTATGTTGGAGCAGGTGACTTCAGCTGATGCCACTTTATCTCAATTCTTATGTTAATGTAAATTGAATTCAAAGTCTTCCAATAAATAAGACTGAATTTATAACATTTGGTGATAGAATTTGATTCTCATCAGAAAGTCTTCTCAAATACCAAATACCTTTGGCTTTGGAAATGGAAGACCTGAATTTTTTTCCCTAGTGATGTCCTACACTGCTATTTAAGTCTTTTATTATTTATTTTTCTTTTGACTTGTTTCTTCCTCATTTCAGCAGTTATATTGTAGACTCACAGAGAGAGGACTGTCTTACATTTTTCCGTGTCTCTTACATTTAGTAAGCATGGAATTAATGTTTATGAATAATGTGAAAATTACAAATAATTTCAGGGGTCCAAATATAAATTATTATCCTATTCGATATGCAATTATCTAGTCAATAGGAAACAATTGTCTTACATACTTAATTCTATCAACTATTTTAATACAGGAAGAAAAGAAGCCATGCCTTTTGGGATTCACATTGGGAAAAGCTACAACTTTCTGCAACTTTCTCCACTGAGCTTTTAAAATTTAATAAATGTTACCCACACTGTCTATGAGGGGAAAAATGAAGCTGAGACTGCCACTCTTCATAGCTGAACTCAGGGCTTGTTTGTTGATTCAGTAGTATCTATCTGCCTGGAGGTGTATGCACTTCAGTCAGGGCAAACTATGACTCTAAGAGGTCAAGTCTTTTCTAATGTCTTCCCAAGTTATCTTAGGCAGACAACTGCTTTACCCCTACCTTTAATTATTTCTGCTGCTCAAAGTTCATTTTGAGGTGTTATTTTATAGCACTTGTGGGGGAATTTAGGAGAGCCAGGTAGTTCCCTGCCTTATTCTACCATCTTTCCGGAATCCTCTCTACAAATAATATTTTTCTTTAAAAGGTTCTTCTGTTCCTTGTTCTGTTGAAGAGGAGGGCAACATGTGTTGTTTCTCAGCCAGATGAGAATTCAAATGCATTCAATTTTGCTTATCTCCGCATTTTAAGAATTTCAACATGGACACATTACCAGTAGATTTGACCAGTCACTAAAATCTAATATTGATTCTTGTCATTAAGAGCTCTCTATTCCCAAAGTTGGGAAAGTTAGAATTCTTCTCTCACACTTGTTTTCTCCCCTAACACAAAGATTCAACAAATAGGCTAAAGGAAGGTTCTACTTAGAGGATCAGCTTTTTGTTTTTGTTCTAGACCTGCAATTTTGTCAGTGTAGGCATATCTCTTTTATGATGTTAAATGTTCTGTATTTTACATTGTCTACATTATCTACATTGTTATAGTGGTACAGTACATACCTGAATAGAGGACAAATTGGGTAAGTTTAAGAAACATCATAAGCCTTGAATAGAAATACATTATTGTAGTATTGGGAGGTTTCAACCATACAAAAGATGCCGGATCTCTCTCTCTCTCTCTCTCTCTCTCTCTCTCTCTCTCTCTCTCTCTCTCTCTCTCTCTCTCTCTCTCTCTCTCTCTCTCTCTCTCTCTGTCTCTCTGTCTCTCTGTCTCTCTCTGTCTCTCTGTCTCTCTCTCTGTCTCTCTCTCTGTCTCTCTCTCTCTTTCTCTCTCTCTCTCTCTCTCTCTCTCTTCTCTCTCTCTCTCTCTTCTCTCACACCTTTCCCCTCCCTCCGTCTCTCCTCACCCCCCAAAATCAGGAAAGCCATAAAGCCATGACTTGTTGAAGTGATAATTTTATCTTTCTAAAAGTAGAGGACACATATGAAAGTTGCTTTTTTTGCATCTGTTTTTGATTCAACAGGGAAAAATTAGTTGCTGAAGCAGACACAACAGGAATTTTTTGGAGCCAAAAAACTACCACAGAATTTAATTAATGAGACAGAAAGAGAAGAATACTGGTGAAAATTTAACATGCACTCTAGATTGTTCTTGTTCAGTCATTTCAGTCATGTCTGAATCTTGTGACCCCATTTGGGGTTTTCTTGGCAAAGATACTGGAATGGTTTGCCAGTTCCTTCTCTAGTGGATTAACGCAAACAGATGTTAAGTGACTTGCCCAGGGTCACACATCTAGTATCTGAGATTGGATTTGAATTCAGGTCTTCCTGACTCCAGGCTCAGTACTTTTATTACCAGTCCACTGAGCCGTCTAGCTGCCTCTATAATCCCATACCTCTCCCTATACCCCTATACCAATATCCTTATCACTATACCAATTTACCTATCTGTGTGTGTGTGTGTGTGTGTGTGTGTGTGTGTGTGGTCAATCTCTCTCTATTCCATTGGAGGAGGGAAACTAGACACACATGCCAGGGTCTGCTCTGATACACTGTAACCACAGCAAGGGCAAGCCTTATATATAAAGATTTTCCTACAGTATATATCCCTGTCCCTATACCTTTATCTATCTTTGATATCTGTGTCTTGAATTTTAGGGATCTACAAGAGCTGGCAGGGAGGACATTAATTAGAGAAGAGCACCATAAATTATATATACTATTTAATGCTTTTCCAGTGCTATAATCTGTACCTCCCTTTTGATTGGTAGTACTACATGGAATAAGCTTATTTTCAGGCAGAAGAATAGAAACAATATAAATGCTTTTTTTTTCCTAAAATTCTTCCTAATGGAATGTTAAGAACATAATAATGTACATATAGAGACATAAAATACAATCATCTAGTGCACTGCATTCAATGCCTATAAAAAGTGAACTTCCTCTATTTTAAGATGTCTGTACAACATTCCAGATTCTCTGCAGTTGACCGTTTTTGTGGAAATTACTGTCATTTGGAAGAGTTAAATGCTGTTTGTAGTTTCTAAGTCTTGCAACAAACGATTTCCATTTGACACACCTTTTGTTTTACTGACTACACAGTATGGACTGAGGACTGTGTCGGAATCCCCTGTTCCTCTTGGATCAATTTGCCACAGTCTGGCTCCATAGTGACGGTGGTTCCCGATGTGGAGTTGGATGGTTGAGTTTGTTTACACTGTTGTCCATAAAAGAAACCAAAAGCCTTGAAAGCAAAAGAAACAGGGAACTATAATAAAAATAAGTAAGCTAAAATAAAAATGAAATCAAAACACAAGCAAAATGAGGTTGAAAATTATAGGAAGATGGACCAAAATTGTGAATATTTTCAGAATTTTATTTTTTGAAATAAGGTGAACAAATTAAAGGACCTTAAGAAAAAATAAAAGGTGACAACAATGCAGTATATACTTCCTTTTCATTAAAAATTCCTATAATAATGTTCTCATTTAAATAATATTCATTGTTGCCCTGTTATTTCTGATAAAAATTTCACTTTGAAGAGATATCAGATTATAGTAAACAATCCATAGTATTCAAAGTTCAGGAAAGACTTCCACTTAAAATTAGCCTGGATTATTAATTATTTATATTATAGAAATGCAGCCTTTTAATCAGTTGGGTCAGTAGTAACCTGTAAAATGTTATCTAAAGTTTTTAAAAGGTGACATTCTGCTCTGCTTTGGAATTAAATACTTTAAGGTAAGATAGCAACCATGTTAGTACTTTGCTCATTATATATTTGATTCAGAATGAAAAAAAAAAAACTAACAGGTTTTCAAAAGCATGATATGATCCTCAAATTTTCTAATAAAATATTTTTCAATACTACATGACCATTTGCATCCTGTTTCACATTTCTATAAAAATTTACCATGTTCCCTTTATGAATTATGTTTCTTAAAAAATATGAATATCAAATTGTGAAAGAATGCCTTTACTTAGTGTAAACTTTGTTTTGGATAAATCACTATTCCTACTTAATCTTCCTTCAACTTCTTTTATCTTTTTCCAGTTTTAAAAATTTATTTCTTTTTAGGTCTATGTATCAAGACCCAACAATTATTTGAGAAATAAGTGTACTTGGAATTTCTTTACACTTAAGCTCTAATCAAATTTAGAGAACAAGGTTTTTCTTTTTCTTTTCCTTTTGTATATTAATAAATGAGATAGTTGGAGTTTCAGCTCAATCTGTACAATTAAACAAAAGAAGAGGTCTGTGTTGCTTTTCCCTCTCAAAGGACTTTTATGGACATTTTGTATTGTCTTTCAATGAAAAGTGACACAGTTCTTTAGGAAAAAAGAATTTACACTCAATTGTCAACTACCCAAGCAATAAATGACTCACCTGTTCAACATCACTGTTCTTCTTTGATTTATATATAAACTCTCCAATGGCTACAAACACAGAAAGGACAAGTCCAGCAGCCAGCACAATAAAGATACCACCAATGTTTTCTACTCCCAAAGCACTGGCTTCTTTGCTGTCCTCCTCAGGGCAGCCATTTCCCCGCCACCATTTTTCTTTCATCATATGCAATTTTCCTTCTTCTTGTAGTTGGAGGATAGCAATAGTAATTTTATCCCGGTAAGGAGAGCCTGGAAAGTAAGGTCATTTGGGTGATGTTGATTAGACCTATATATAGGGAAATAACAATGTGCTTACAAAAGGTAAATGGTTAGAAGGGAACCAAAATACACTGGAAAAGGATAAGGAGAGTTAAAGGTAGAGTTTTAAGTCTAGAAAGAACTACAAAGGGTGAGATGATCATTTGGTATGCCTTTGGGTGTGTTTATATGAAATAAGATGGATCTAACCAAGAATACTCCCGCATTCTGTTTTTGTTTTGGTTTTGTTTTCTTTTGTTTTTGTGAGGCAATTGGGGTTAAGTGACTTGCCCAAGGTCACACAGCTAGGAAGTGTCAAGTATGTGAGGTCAGATTTGAACTCAGTTCCTCCTGACTCCAGGGCCAGTCCACCACCTAGCCTCCCCATGCATTCTGTTTTTAAAGTAATCTTTTCTCATGCTAAATGGTTCCAGAGGATTTGATTCTACCTCCTTTTGGGCTATTGATTATATCTTAAGTTGGTACATGAATTTAAGGATAATTTTCCAGATTCAGAGATGACCCTCCTCTCCCCCTTCCCCAATTCCATTTGACTTGCAAAATTTACATGTGTCCTATCTAACCCCTCTCCCCCAGTCATCACAATGACCTTTGAAGGTGCTTCTAGATTGCTGAGATAAGAAAGCACAAGATTATGTCTGTAGCATATATATTCAGAATTATCAAACTCCCATTATAGGCAATCCAAAGTGTAGCTGGTATTCTGGCCTCTATTTCCAAGAGCAAGGGCAGCTACATCACCCACTCAGGAGAATGGATGTATCCCAGAGAGATTGATCTGCCTCTATTATCAGCTCAATCTCTCCACCCCCCTTTCTGGTGTGATTCTCCCCACTTATATCTCAGTGACAAGCACCCCAAGTCTGTGTAACCAATTAACATTAATTAGCTTTTACAAAGTGATATTTACTTCAATCAATCCATTAACATTTTTAAAATATCTACAAGGTGCCCTGGCACTGTGATAAATGCTGGGGGTGCAAAAAGAGACAAAAGATGGTCCCTACCCTCAAGTAGCTTACAGTCTAATGGGGGGACAAGATGTGAACAAAGCAACCTATATATAAGATAAATAGGAAATAAAGAGGGAAAGGATTCAAATTAAGAGGAATTGGAGGAGGCCTTCAGCAGAAGATAGGAGTTTAGTTGGGACATGTTCATCCTTTGTTTTTGAAGAGGACCAGTGACATCATGGGGTGATGACTTGCATGTGAATGGGATTTAAGTGAGGCAGAGTTGCATTCCTCACTCTCTTCCATAGTCTTGGAAGTCCAGTGGCAAGACAAAAGTCGAGAGGACTTCTGATAGCCTGGGATGTATGGATGACCTTGGCATCTTCAATGTCTGACCAAGTCCTGAAAGATATGGCAAGAACAAAACTACAAACAAATATATAGCACCAGCACCATGGGGACACACTCTTCCCCATTCTATTTCAGGGGAGACTGGGCTCAGACAATATAGCTTCTTCAAAGTATTGGTCTCACCAAGTTCACATACAAATGTGGCATGCTGCTAGATGAGCCCTTGTCCCAGCTACTTTTGGACTGGATCGTAAAGGTCATGCCTCATTTAACAGGAGCTAGCTGCAAAATCTGGCATAGATTTGATTCCTGTACATTTTGAAACTCATAATGTCATAGTCTCCATTCTCTCTCTTTAAAAAAAAAAAGCAATATTTTATTTTTTCCCCAATTACACGTAAAAACAAACTTTAACATTCATTTTTTTTAAAGTTCCAAATTCTATCCTTCCTTTCCTCTCCTACCCCTCCCTGAGATGGTAAGCAATTTGATATCGGTTATACATGTTCAATCACATGAAACATTTCCATATTAGTCATTTTGTGGAAGAAAATTTGAACAAAAGAAAGTAAAAATAGTATACTTCTGTCTGTATTCAGACGCTATCAGTTCTTTCTCTTGAAGTGGATAGCACTTTTCTTCATGAATCTTTTGGGATTGCCTTGGACCATTTATTGCTGGAAGAAGCTAATTCAGGTATAGTTATCTATTGCAAATGTTCAATGTTGCTGTTACTGTATACAATGTTCTCCTCATTCTGTCCACTTCACTCTGCATCAGTTCATGTAAGTCCAGGTTTTTCTGAAATCATCCTGCTCATCATTTCTTATAGCACAATAATATTCCATTACATTCATATACCACAACTTGTTCAGCCATTCCCCAATTAATGGGCATCCCCTCAATTTCCAATTCTTTGCCACCACAAAAGAAACAGACATACACAAACACACACTTATTTGTACAAATATATATGTGTGTGTATATATATATATATGTACAAATAGGTTCTTTTCCCTTTTTAAGAAAAATCCCTCTTTTTAAAAATAGCCCTATTAGTGGTATTGCTGGATCAAAGGGCATGTAGGTTGATAGCCTTTGGGCATAATTCCAAATTGCTCTCTAGAATGGTTGAATGAGTTCACAATTCCACCCACAGTGCATCCCACATCCCCTCCAACATTTATCGTTTTCCTTTTCTTCCAATCTTTCTTAAAATGGAAAAAAAAAATGCCAAGGTAAAAAAGCCTTGAGGCTTATATACATTATACATATCCACTCATTGGAGTACTACAATACTGGAAGAAGTCAATGCAAGAGATTAAAGAGATTAACTAATGCCTTTTGAAACCACCACCACTTCTGGCTATATAGCCATAGCCAATCCAGTGGCTCCTTTTCATCATGTGGTAAGTCGACCAGAACCAGTTACAGAATATCTACACCTAGTCCAAAGTTTCTCCAGTACTTTTTAGTTACTTATCAACACAGCTATCCTATAATCAGGATCCTTGTTGTCTTCTCCTTGGGAAATTGGAAAAATTAGCAAAGTTTTGTAGGTGTTATGCAAAATGTGTATCACTAAATTAGTATGTAGATTGAGGGAGGGGGTGAGGAAAAAGCCAGTTGAAAGACATTAGTTATTTTCATATACAATTGCAAGAGTGGTTCAGTGTATAAATTATTACCACAATTACATGTATTATTAAGTCAACCGCTACAACTTTTTTTTTAATGTATAAGCATTTTGACCTCCTATCTGCTTGAATTCAAGCAAGACATTTAACTTCTTGGGGCCTCGCATTTCTTCTCTTTAAAATTATGGCTTATCATCAGATTGGCTAAGTTGACAAAAAAAGGAAAATGATAAATGTTGGAGAAGATGTGGGAAAATTGGAACTCTAATGCATTGTTGGTGGAATTGTGAACTGATCCAACCATTCTGGAGAGCAATTTGGAACTATGCCCAAAGGGCTATAAAGTTACCCTTTGATCCAGCAATACCACTTCTGGGTCTGTATCCCAAAGACATCATAAAAATGGGGGAAAGACCCACATGTACAAAAATATCTATAGCTGCTCTTTTTGTGGTAGCCAAGAATTAAAATTGATGGGATGCCTATCATTTGAGGAATGGCTGAACAAGTTGTGGTATATGAATGTAATGGAATACTATTGTTCCATAAGGAGTGATGAGCAGGTGGACTTCAGAAAAACCTGGAAAGACTTGCATGAATTAGTGCTGAGTGAAGTAAGCAGAACCAGGAAAACATTGTACATAGTAACAGAACGTTGTGGGATAAGCAATTTTGATAGACTTAGCTCTTCTTAGCATAGCAATGATCTAAGACAATTCCAAAAGACTCATAATGGAAAATGCTGTCCACATCTAGAGAAAGAGCTATGGAGTCTGAATGCAGGTGGAAGCATGCTATTTTTCCTTTTGGGTTTTTTGTTTGTTTGTTTTCTTTCTCATGGTCTTCCCCTTTGGTTCTAATTCTTCTTTACAACATGACTAATGTGGAAATATGTTTAATATGATTGTACATGTATGGCCTATGTCAGATTACACATCATCTTGGGGAGGGAGAAAGTGAAGGAGGGGGAGAAAATTTAAAACTCAAAATCCTATAAAAGTGAATGTTGGAAACTGAAAACAAAAGCAAAACAACAACAACAAACCCCAGAATGACCTGAATCTCACCTGCCTTTTTAATGAGCCAAGAATCCTACATCTCTCTAAGTTTTGCTTGCACTTTACTTTTGATGGAGTTAAGTGCTGCCTTCTTAGAGACAGACAAATAACCTGCTGGTAAACCCTGGGGAGTTCTCATTTTTCACTTAGCAGCTTCTGAATTTCCCCATCATTTTCATCACCCTAATCCTAATGTTTGCTAGTGTTCTGGCCTACATGACCAAATGTGGTGCTGTACATGAAATCTCTGAAAGCTGCCCACTCTTTTTCCGCTCCACTGTTGTCAAGCTTTCCCTCCAGGTTGGCAACAAACTGTTTCTGCCACAGGGAAGCACTCTCATCTGTTGACATTAAGTCTTCTGGTAGTCATCTTACCTTGGGGCCAGTGCATTTTCTGACTGCCACACATCACCTTTGTCACCCTTCCTGTCTGTCCCTTCTCTATAATGAGAACTAAGTTCCACTAGGTTTTATTGTGGTAAATGGAAGTCAGTGTTGGCGATGAGCAAGTCACAAGATGCACAAGTCTTCAGTAGTAAGTGACCAATGTTGTTGCTGTTTCCAACTCCATTCCTCCCAAAGACTCCCTGCCATGTCTGATAGCCTACTCTGGCATTAAAGCCACCCAGAATTATAAGCTTGTCCTCTGTTGACACATGGATGATGAGGGTCTCCAGGTCTTCATAAAATTTTTCTTTAACCTCAAGTGTCATCCTGGTGGAAGCACAAGCATTGATGATGGTGGCGTGGCATTTTCCTGCAAGTGGCAATCACATTGTCATGAGTCTGTCTTTTATCAGTTGGGGCATGACTTGTATTCTTATAAATTTGACTCAGTTTTCTATATATTTTAGAAATGAGGTTTTTATCAGAGACACTGGCTGCAAAAATTGTTTCCCAGCTTTCCGATTTCTTTCTAATCTTGGCTGCATTCGCTTTGTTTGTACAAAATTAGAAGTATTTCACTTCTG